AGATGTTAAAAGGATATGGGAATGGAGATATTTTACAAAATAGAAAAAATGAGAAAGCCTATGCAAATGATGAAGGTCTCTGTAGGTTTGTTATGAGATATAAAGGATGAGACAAAAATAATATACACATAATCTTAAAATTTCTATGGTCATAGTTTAGTCAACAAGTTTATGGAACAAAATATATATCTAGTCAAGGCTCATCTGAGAATATTTGGGTTTTTACCCAAGCCTTATCTACATAGCACACGATAACTAAAAGTACCAGAGTGGTGGAACTAACCTTATTGGATGTTTAACAGCCACAGTTTGAGGCCTATACTAATGTGGTCAGGGGGACTTAAAGGACAGTTTTTGCCCCTTGCCCTCCAAGGTCGACTAAGTTCCAGGGTACTATGGAACATCTCTCAAAATGTCCTGTAACTGTGGTGAGTCCCATGTCCTCTTGTTCAGGGAGGACATGGAGACCTCATGAGATGGACTTGAACCAGTGTCCAGTCTACAAAGAGGAGGGTCAGCTCAGAGGAAACAGCTCATCCATGCTTCCAAGTGAAGCCAGACATGGTTGAGCAGGACCTTTGACATATTATCACATAGGTGGAACTGGTAAAAGAAAGGAGCCAGGAGCTCCTCCTAAGCCCATGTGACTCCTGAGGAACAGATCCTCAAATGACCTGAAGTGTTAAAAATAAATTGATTTTTTGGGTGCCAAATATATGGTCTTAAACATCCAAAAGAAAAGTATAACCAAAGAGTAAAGTCATTACACTTCCCAGTCATTAGTCTTAAGTCTATGTAAAATGTTACTTAGAAATTATTTTTCATTGATGATTTTATTCCTAACCAGAAAGTGCTGCTCAGATGTAAGATTTCAAATCTTGGTCTCCAATACTGTAGTGCCCACCTGTATCTAAGGAAGACAACCAGCTATTGCTCTAAAGTGATGGATAAATTTGTTTTCTCCCCTATCTAGAAGCCTTTGAAAGGGAACTGACACTGATTCTAACCACTCTAACAGCTATCAAAATACCTGAAAGCAAATCCTGAATCCATCAGTCTAGCATCCAGCCTTGGAAGACAAAAGAAAAAGAAAAGAGGAGAAACCTGATAGAGGGATGCTTTTGGAAGCCCTTGTCAAGAAATTCGAATGGACTCTCATATGAACATTTGAAAATTGCCCTGTTCTGATTTTTCTCTAGTTCCCTGTAGACAGGGAACTTGTAATGCTAATTACTCTTGCCTTTACTTCTCCTGCACATCTCCTATTCACTATTCAAGGACTTTCTTTTCCCCCTAGAGATAAGAGTTATGCAATTTGGGAGTCTTTTAGGTAGACCCACTGAAGGGGTACCCCAATTGCTTCACCCTGCGGCCCTGTTCAGCATGGAAGAAGCCAGAGCAGTCTGCATCCCAATTCCCTATTGGCAATTTGGGTAAGCTCTTCAGAAGATGGTGTGATAAGAATAGAAGGTAGGAATTGGCTAGGCATTTAGGGTAAAAAGACCCCAAAGAAAAGCAGCCAGTTTCTGGGCTAAAACTCACAATGTCCTTGGGCCTTTTAGCAACAGACTCCGTTCCAAAGCCCAAAAATGTCAAAAGTGTTTGGGTGCTTTTATCTAATCCTTAAAAGATTTTAGAGTTAAGTCTTTGGAGGGGATAATGTTAGAGTAGCCAAAAGCCCCATAAAAAAATAAATAAATCAAAGAAGAGTATATGACGTTATCAGAAAAAAGTGATAGGGAGATATGGGAGGAGTTGGAGGGGAGGGAGTGGGCATGGACTTGATCAAAATACCTTATATGCATGTATGAAAATCTCAATAAAGTTTTTGTTAAGTTAAAAAAGTGAAAAGAAAATGAATTTTTCCCAAAACTTAAAATATTTCTAAGAGAGTTTATGGTATAGTTATTGCAAAGCTAATTCAACTGTCAGTTAGAAGCCTTGTGGATGATCCTCCAGCCTCACTTTGTTTTTAAGTGGTAAGTTTACTTAGAACAGCACTGGTTTCTACTTTATTTAGAATACTCTGTGGCAAACACACCAATGAAGCTATGTCTTCTAACTCACCCCGGGAACCTAATTGGAATCCTGGTCCGAGAATGTTTAGGGAAACGTCTCACAGGCTTTTTCATGTATGTAAATCATTTGGTGCCCATGTCACCCTTCAAGAAATTATAATTCTGTGTTGTTGATTTGAAGTCCATGGTTTGACTTCCTTCACAAGTTCCTCTTACTAGTGTTGTTTCTCCCCCTAGATTCATTGTCAGGAGCACGAAGATAGACAAAGCAAGCTCAGAACACAAGGTCTCCCTCAACACAAGTGCAAATACAGTGAATACTCATTGAAGATTAAAAATCACAATACTGGGGCTGGAGAGATGACTAAGCGGTTTAGAGCACTGGCTGTTCTTACAGAAGACTCAGGTTCAAATCTCAGCACCCATATGGTGGCTAACGACCATTTGTATCTCAGATTCCAGGGGATCCAACACCCTGTGCAGGTATCAAATTACACAGGTACACTTATATGCATGCAGGCAATATATGCATATATGTAAAATAAAGAATGATAAAATATTTTTAAAAATAAAAATTTCACAATATTGTACTAAAAGCTAATTTGAGGGAAAGCTTTTAATAACATTTATCAACTTGGGCTATTGGCAGAGTGATTAAGACTACATTCCACAATGGTCTATACCACTTAGTATGGGTCATTACTATCTTGTGGCCTAAACTGATTGAAAAATGAAAAAAGAAATCAATGATACTCAGCTGTAATATTATTTGCTTCCACTTTGAAGTCTACTTAAAGTGAGACATTGCTGATATCTCAGCAGCATGTTTGTAGTAATAATAATAATTCATATGAACTCATTATCCTGAGTTTATTGAGCATGTTCTACATGTTCTCACAGTGTGAAGGTTCTTTCACAGGGAACCCTGCAGAGTGTGAGTCAATACTATGCCGACAGGTAGACCCTGAGATTTCTAGAATCACTGTGAGCATTCAGGTCTTAGCATCCATGTTTGTATTTCTTCTTTTGCTTTCTCTACATTGATTTAAAATCAATTGCCATGTTAGAGCTAAGTTTGTGGCTATGAGGACACAGAAAAGAAGGGTACAGATGTAGTACAGAAGGAGGAACACAGGTAGCTTTGGTTTTCACAATGTCTGTAACATTTTACATGGTGCAGTATGATGAGTTTTCTCATATCTTGCTTTCTGATCAAATTAGGGGAAAGGGCACACATGCACATACTGGATGAGGGCGTGGGATGACTGTGTATACTGAACTTTTTAAGCTATGAGTGTTATACATGGGTTGTGCTGCTATTTCATATCCACTTTCCCAGGTCGATGGGATTTTGTGTGGTTTGAGGTGACAATGTAATTGGGAATGCTGTTGGCATTGCTGTGAGATCATATAAGTAACTAACCAACTGTCTTGAAAACACTATTTCCCTGTGGTCATCAACTACCTCTGGCTCTTACAATATTTTTATCTCCTTGCTCACAATGATCCATGAGACGGGAGGGCAGCAGTATAATACAGGTGTCCTATTCACTGAAAAGCACTCTTTCTTAAGACACTACACACATACATGACATCCCTGTAGAACAAACAAGGAAAAATCAATTTGATGTTGACTTTAGAGTGTGATAACTAATAGCTAGCTTTCTTAGTGCTGGAAGGTACTATGCGTGCCACCAGGAGGAAAAAAGTCATCAACATTACCCAGCAGAAAATACTGTGAACTGTCACAAGTGGTCAAACAAGATATGCCCACTGGTGTAATATTGACAAGAATATTATGGCAGTAAACACTCACTCTGTAATTCAACTTAAGGTCCACTTCATAGAAGGGAGCCCATACCTGACTTTGATATCAGGCTTAGGAACCTGAGACTGTACAGGTCACAGGGCATAGTGGGGGAGCCTAATACTAGTTTTCTACTAAATAATTATAACATTAAACTGACTCCAAATGTCTTCCTGTTAGATTAAGTCATTGCTCAACTCTCAACAGAGAAATTTATTTATGCAGCAGGTGGTGATTAACACAGAAACCTAAAACCAGACAAAAAATAAAGATAAGCTTAAAAAGTTGATACATATAGAAATTAAAGATGAATTCTTAACTTCAATACTGTCAAAGCAAAAGTATAAAGAACTCTCCAGGCATGGTGGCACACACTTTTAATCCCAGCATTCAGGAGGCAGAGGCAGGCAGATCTCTGTGAGTTCAAGGCCAGCCTGGTCTACATGGTAAGTTCCAGAACAGCTGGGGCTACAGGGAGACCCTGTCTCAAAAAGACCAAAAAAAAAAAGTACAAAGAACTGAAATGCTTATCAATGTCAAATGTAGATTAATAAATATGAAGAAGTTGGTAGGATTTACCTGGCATTATTCAGTGGTCCCTCCATGACAAGTAGCACATGAGAGCTCATGTGTGCCTTTCCTGTCCATCACATTTCACCCTGGAGCCTGAGGATCATGTATTGCAGATATCTTTGTGAACCACAAACCATTCCTTCTTAGCATGCCACAAAACCTCTAAGGAAAAGACAAAGAATTTCAAAGAAGTTGCTCCTCTGACATCTTGGAGATTGCCCAGAAACTCTGCAAGACAAAGAACTGTAATAAAATTCACAGAATGTGAAGAGAGACACTCAAAGATAGTCAGGACTGCCAGGCTTAGTGGTGCATGCCTTTCATCCCAGCACTCAGGAGGCAGAAGCAGACAGATCTCTGTGAGATGGAGGCCAGTCTGTTCTACATAGAGGGATCCAAGCTGGCTGGGGCTATGGGAGACTTATCTAAAAATTAATAATAATAATAATAATTAATAATAATAATAATAAAACACAGTCAAGACTGTGCACATTGTTTGAAGAGAAAGCACACTCAGCAAAGAAAATTTGAAACAATTTTAATAAATTACCACAACCCTCACATTAAGAATTCCTACACATGTTTCCAAATGGCTTCTACCTGTAGGAGAGTCCAAAAGATGTAGAGATGAAATTTTCTTCTCTCATATTGCATCTTTCTTTTCTTTCATTTTACACACTGTTTTTAATATTCCTCCAAGGTTAAAGATGCAGAGTAGGGACATTTAACTGAATTTAATGTTATTATACTTGGATGACATTAAGGAGGGCATGGTCCCACCAAGTTTCTGGAATATGAATAGATCTTTCCATATGTTTATAAATGTTTGGTGAGAGAACAGATGATTTCTTAGGGGTATCTGGCTGAAAACACCTGAGTGCCCTGGCACGAGAATGGATTCTAAGGGGATGACACTTAGTCAAGCCAGGAAGGACAGAGAGGGAGCAGCTTGCAGAGTTAAAGCACAGTACTCTTCAGTGTCTCACACTGTGAAGAGCTTGAGCCCATCAAGGATTTATCATAGTATTATTCAGAGAGTGAATTTTGAAGATAAACAACCATGTCTCTAAAAAAACACATATTTTGAATATATTGAATATATTGGGTGACTATTAGATCATTTAAAGAATATAAATCAGCCTGCCCCCTAGATTAAAAAAAAACAACAAAACAACAACAACAAAAACCCCACAAGGGATTTAAAGCAGCAGGTGGCTACGGAGCATTTAAAGAATTTAAGGTGGCTTGCCCCATGAACAAATGGAAAAAAGATTTTAAAAGCCATTTTTTTTTCTGTAAACCTCCCATAAGGGGGGGTGCCTTTGTGCCACACACACCCGGATGGTGGTGGGTCATGGCCTTTTCTCCATCCTCTGGGTGCGCAGGCAATTGCTGTGGCCCGTGGGACATGGCAATGTCCTTACACCAATGCGTGACAAGGGACAAGCTGCTACCAGCACATAGTTACAACATTCGGAGGTTAAAAGAGATAGCCTATTTCCCTCTCTGATGTTCAGTTGCTGTATGCTTGCTTTTGTCCCTGCCACATCATTCCCTGGGTACCTTCTAGTTACGATGTCATGTATAGACTAAAGAAAAAGAGTATTATGATAGTGTCTCTTTGCAAGTTCTTTTAGGTAGCATTGTTTTCTGTCATGGGTACTTAATCCAAGATTATGTATAATGAATTATAAAATGTTTTTTTCCAATCCAGACTGGCAGCCCTCTTCAAAAGAATTCATCATGCAAGTTAACAGTCTTGCCTTAGTTTAAAAGTAAAATATGGATAAACAATTCAAAGCTTTTAGGCTAACGAAAAATAAATGCCCTTTTTTGTATTAATTATATTGGTAAATTGTCACATGCTGTTTGAGCTCACTGAGACGCTGACTCTGGAGATGGGTGGCCCTCCCACTTCAGACTCAAGTCTATTATCTCAAGATATGTTCTCCAAGACTCTTTTCCAGGTTCAGGCTGGCCCCTTGACCCTGTGACAAGAAAAAGGAGAACAACAAAACAGCCTAAGAGTAAAGGCACTGTGCTATTAAAAACAGCTAAGGTGTAAACTAATTTCAACAGAGGGTATTACTGTCTATAGTAAAAGCAGTTAATGGGAGTCTCTATTTGATCACAATACTGAGTAAAGTCACTAACACAAACTAATGTAAAATGTATGGTAAATACAAAGAAATTTAACTACTTAATGAAAAACAACAGGATGGATTTTTTTTTTAAAAAGAGAATCTACTTAGAATTTCTCAGTCAGTAACTAAAGCATGACAGTTTTCTTAAACTGATTATGCTGGAGATTGTAAACATCAATTTGATAATGTTTAACTATGTACCAATTGCTTCTTTCTACCTAAAACAAGGTTTTGGTAGATCACTCTTTAAATTACATAAGGTAAAAGATTTTTAACTGTCTTGTGTTTTCCATAAGGTTTACCTAGAAACTTATAAAACAGTGTGTACATGGGTAATATTAACTTATTACATTATCTTATGTATATGATTTAGATTTCATGTTCTTTTAATAAGATGATGCTACACACTACTTTCTTCTGAGTCAAACAACTACCATCTTCATGACTTCAGCTGTGTATACTAACAAAAGATCATCACAATTGGACTTGTTGACAAGTATTGTAATCTTTAATTAAAGGAGGAGGGGTGAACAGGGTCATTGGACCCTCACCTGAGTATCCAGCTGCTGTTCCCAGCCAACTGTATGTAATTTGGCCCTAATTATATATGGTCTCCTGGGTTTGGGGAAGACTAGGAAGAGATGTCTTGATCCATGCTGGGTAAAGGCTTTCCAGTGTAAATACCCATGCTGGGTAAAGGCTTTCCACTCATATACCTCAGCAACACATCAGTCATCTCTGTAAGCTCAGTAAATTCGTTGGTTCCCCAGAAAAACTTTAATGTAATCAAACATTGGTTTGATACTAGAACCTAAAAAGGGGATAAACATTGCTTAGTATCCCCAGAAAAGGATTCTCACAACAGATGGGAAATTTATTTGTTGTTATTCTGTCTCATATTTATTAAGAAAGAAAATGGAAAGTTAAAAGATGTTAGAAGGCTATGAGAATGGAGACATTTTTAAAGAAGGACTTATGTATAAAAATTATGATGGCTGGATATTTCCAGAATTGACAGAAAAAATGAGAAAGCCTAAGCAAGTGATGAAGGTCTGTGTAGGGTTGTTACGGTATAACAAGGATGAGGCAAAGATAATGTATAGACAATCCTAAAATTTCTAAGGTCACAGTTTCATCAACTAGTTTAAGGATGTCTCATCAACGTTTATTTTTAAATGTTTGATTTTTGCCCAAGTT